GACATTAAAGCCCATCCTGTGCCAACTCCTTCCAGGACACCTCCCACTAGCCCAGGTTGCTCCAAACCCCATCCAACCCGACCTGGGACACTTCCAGGGATCCAGGGGCAGCCACAGCTGGGGTGGGCCCCCCCCTCCTCCCAGGGAAGGATTTCTCCCCGATATCCGCGGCGCATCCGCGTCTCCCACGAGGACACGAGGTCGGACACGCCGTGGCTGTGCCCGGGGGGGTGTTCAGGTGTTCAGACCCTCACCTTGTGTGAAGGCCTCCTGAACGTCTCCCCCGACTCCGGCGAGCGCGTCCTGCGGGCCGTGGGTGGGGGTGGACCCGGCGGAGCTGGACCTGACGGGCATCGGGATGGGGCAGCCGTGGGTGGGCGAGGGCTGAGCCGAGCCCGCCGCCTGCGCCTGCCGGGAGACACCACACACACCCCCACGTTACACACACGGCTCGGCTCTTTCTCTCTATCTCTTTCTCTTTTTTTTTTCTTTTTTTGGGTCAACGGCTAAAAATAATTCCACAAAAACAAACAAACAAACAAACAAACAAACAAACAAACAGACAGACAAAAGGAACGTGCAAGGAAAGAGGCTCTTCCCCAAAACACACGCTCTGGGGTTGAGTGATGACGTGATGCACGAGCGGGGCTGCTGTGGGAGGACCTCGTCAGCACTTCGTTGATTTATTTCTATGCATTTTAATAAATTTCAGTATTTTCATATGTTTTGTTTTCGGAATTTCACGCATTTCGTGTTTTAAGCGTTCATACACGTTACGTGTGTATTTTATGAGGTTTTGTGTATTTCATTTATTTTCGTAGGCATTGCATATTTTTATATTTTATATATCCTTATATAGCTTTACTTATTACTAACGTAGTGAATTTTAAGGTTTTATTTTAGGTTTTCTTCCAGCCCAACCCACCCCATCTCTGCTGTGCCACTCCAAGAGCAGCTTTGCTCCAGGGGTGCCAGTCTCAGATACAGCTTCTGGTGCCCCCCCTACTCAAGGCCAGGGACAGCCCCAAGGGTCTGTCAGGTGCTGCCTACGGACTCAAATCCTACTGGATTTCACACCAAATCCCAAACAGGCACAGAACCATTGAAGGCTCAGAGGACACTTGTGCAATGTTCACTCTGGAAAGCCTCCACTGGCTGCGAAGGAGTTTCTGCCCCAGTGAAGCCTCCAGAGCTCAGCCCAGGGTTGGGCACCGGTGTGATGGGCAGGGGAAGGAGAGGGACTGATGTGAGGAAAAGGGAAGTACAGGAGAGGACAGACGTGGGCTTATGGGCTCTGTGTTTTAAAAAAATGTGATCTCAGCAGGTCCTCAGTGTGTGGTGCCCACGGGAGGGAACGAGGAGGACCCACCAAGTGATGCCCCTCACTGGGCATTTAAGGACCTTTGCAAAGAGATTCACAGGATCCCAGGGTGGTTTGGGTTGGAAGGGACCTTAAATGAATCCAATCCTACCCCCTGCCATGGGCAGGGACACCTCTCACTGGCCCAGGTTGCTCCAAGCCCCGTCCAGCCTGGCCTTGGACACTCTCAGGGATCCAGGGGCA